ACCAGTGAAGACCTTGGATTAACTAACAGTAACTGGCCAGTTTGGGGTTTGAACCCGTGACCTTAGCATTATTAGCATTAAAGGAGTGGAAAACCTTTTATCCCAATGACCTTTGCATTATTAGCATGAAAAGAGTGGAAAACAGTCCATCCGAAGTACATTTTATAGAGTTGCAGGGAGTCAAACCTTTGGATTAACTAACAGTAACTGGCCAGTATGGGGTTTGAACCCATGACCTTAGCATTAAAGGAGTGGAAAACCTTCTACCCCAAGTACATTTCATGGTAAAGCTGGGAATTAAACCTTTTAATTAAACAGCAAATGGTCAATATGGGGTTTGAACCCATGCCCTTGGTGTTATTAGCACCACGCTATGACCAGCTGAGCTAACCGGCCTGTTCACAAGACACTTCAGGGTTCCTGTTACCTGCATTTAAAGAGTGGAAGACAGAAAAAATACACTTTCCAAGATCACTTAACCTCTTAAGAGCCTGTTCTGATGTGAGGACGCTGCATTTCTGCGTCTGTGGCCAGTATGGGGTTTGAACCCATGACCTTTGCATTATTAGCATATAAAGAGTGGAACATTTTCCACCTCAAGTACATTTTATGAAGAAACAGGGAGTCAAACCTTTGGATCAAAGAGGAAATGGCCAGTATGGGGCTTGAACCCATGACCTTGGCGTTATTAGCATGTAAAGAGTGGGAAACAGTCCATCCCCAGTACATTTTATGAAGAATCAGTGAGTCAAACCCTTGAATAAAAGAGGAAGTGGCCAGTATGGGGCTTGAACCCATGACCTTGGCGTTATTAGCACCACACTCTGACCAGGTGAGCTAACCAGCTTTCCATGGACAGTTGATAGAGGAGTACATAGTGAAGACTTTGGATTAATTAACACTAACCGGCCAGTTTGGGGTTTGAACCCATGACCATGGTACTATTAGCATTTAAAGAGTGGAAAACAGTCCCTCCCAAGTACATTTTATAGAGAAGCAGGGAGCCAAACAGGTAATGGCCAGTGTGGGGCTTGAACCCATGACCTTTGCATTATTAGTATGTAAAAAGTGGAAAACAGTCTAGACCCAAGTACATTTTATCAAGAAGCAAGGAGTCAACCCTTTGGATCAAAGAGGAAATGGCCAGTATGGGGCTTGAACCCATGACCTTGGCGTTATTAGCACCACGCTCTGTCCAGCTGAGCTAACCGGCCGGTCCACAACACCCTTCAGGGTTCCATTACGTCCATTTAAAAAGTGGGAAAAAATGAGAAGATTCTTTTCCATGTACAGTTTATAGAGGAGCACCAGTCTTGTCACCACTTTGAGTCTCGGTTTTATTTTTTCATTGAAAATAAAATTGTTATGTTGTTTGATTCTGTTTGGCTCTCATCTGGGAAATATGAGTTAAATCTTTATTTACATTCATAAATGAAAGCAAACAAACTATAGACACTGATTCTAAAAGTTATCAAGGACATTTGAAAACCATCCCAGTTCAGATACAGTCTAAACTTCTTATCTTTCTTGTGGAAACGTTCACTACTGCCATACGTTGGGTTCTGTCGCCCTCTGGTGGTGACACGTAGGAGGTGCAACACACTTCAGGGTTCCTATTACCGGATTCAGAGAGTGGAGGACAGAAAAAGACAGTTTCCATGTACAGTTGATAGAGGAGGAACCAGTGAAGACCTTGGATTAACTAACAGTAACTGGCCAGTTTGGGGTTTGAACCCATGACCTTATTAGCATTAAAGGAGTGGAAAACCTTCTATCCCAAAAACATTTCATGGTGAAGCTGGGAGTCAAACCTTTGAATTAAACAGCAGATGGTCAGTATGGGGTTTGAACCCATGACCTTTGCATTATTAGCATGTAAAGAGTGGAAAACTGTCCATCCCAGGTACATTTTATGAAGAAGCAGGGAGTCAACCCTTTGGATGAATCAGGAAATGGCCAGTATGGGGTTTGAACCCATGACCTTTGCATTATTAGCATGTAAAGAGTGGAAAACAGGTTATCCCAAGTACATTTTATGAAAAAACAGGGAGTAAAACCTTTGGATCAAAGAGGAAATGGCCAGTATGGGGTTTGAACCCATGTCCTTAGCATTAAAGGAGTGGAAAACCTTCTACGCCAAGTACAATTCATGGTGAAGCAGGGAGTCAAACCTTTGAATTAAACAGCAAATGGCCAGTATGGGGTTCGAACCCATGACCTTGGCGTTATTAGCACCACGCTCTGACCAGCTGAGCTAACCGGCCTGTAAGCAACACCCAGAAAAAGAAAAAGACACTTTCCATGTACAGTTGATAGAGGAGGAACAGGTGAAGACTTTGGATTAACTAACAGTAACTGGCCAGTTTGGGGTTTGAACCCATGACCTTTGCATTATTAACATGTAAAGAGTGGAAAACAGTCCATCCCAATTACATTTTATGAAGAAGCATGGAGTCAAACCTTTGGATCTTCCAACCTTTGGATTAACTCACAGTAACTGGCCAGTGGGGGGTTTGAACCCATGACCTTTGCATTATTAGCATGTAAAGAGTGGAAAACAGTCGATCCGAATGACATTTTATAGAGTAGCAGGGAGTAAAACCTTTGGATTAACTGAACATTAACTGGCCAGTATGGGGCTTGAACCCATTACCTTTGCATTATTAGCATGTAAAGAGTGTAAAACAGTCCATCCCAATTACATTTTATGAAGAAGCAGGGAGTCAAACCTTTGCATCAAACAGGAAATGGCCAGTATGGAAAACAGAAAACAAGACTTTCCAAGACCACTTAACCTCCGGATTTCCTGTTCTGATGTGAGGATGCTGCATTTCTGCCTCTCTGTACCAGGATCCTTCTTTTTCCTTCGACCTTTGACCTCTTGGCCTTATAGCGTTCTGGTCACACCAGCAGCCAATCTGTGTTTAATTATCTCCAGATTTAAAACTTTACTAGAGAAAAGGCCAACCGGGCCCACCCTGAAGCTTCAGCTTTCATATTCACGGGAATTTCGGACCAAAGTCTTTGCAGACCGACACGTTTTCAGTCCAGATGAAAGACGCCGTCCTTTTTTGGGTCCAATAAAAACGTCCAATATCGCAGATCACCTGCCTGGACACACCTGATGAGGAGACCAGAACGCTTTGGAACAAGATTAATTTAATTTATGAACATGCATGAGCCATTTTTACATCAAAATTTTCCTGGATGTTCACCAGATATCGATTAATATTTGTCTATATCTATTTAGATCACTATTGCTGTTACATGTGCAGATTTTCTGGATTTAATTAACATTCTTTGTTTATTTCTATGATAGATACAGTGCCATTCAGGTTTATGTCTCTATAAATTTAGATAATCAGAGACTTTCTTTACAATTTGAATTGTTGCGTTTAATTACATCAGCATTCAGACACTTTCCTGCAAACACAGTTAGAGCAGTATGAATAAATCGGCTTTGACAGAGAAGGAAAGGTGAAAATTTCCAGTCAATCCTGGTCTGTGAGCTCAGTGGGTTTCCCCCTGTTTCCACTCTGCTTTTCTGTGCTCACAGAGCTGTTTATTTAGCACTTTTCTGTCCGTTTGTCGGCCTGATTGTGGTCTGAGAGGCGGCGTGTTTATCTGGGTGAACAAACCACAGACGCCCACTCAGAAAAAGCTCCTCCGGCCTCCTCGGGCCGCTACACCACCGTTTCCATGACGACCCGGGCCCCGCCTCTCTGGCCTTTGACCTCCTGAGCAGCTGAAAGACGCAGAGAAAAAACGTTTCACACCTGCAAAGCTGAACTTCCCCTCCACTCTTAACAGGAAGTAAGACACATTTAGCATTTAGCTAGCCGAAACCACCTCTCATCCTGTTTTCACTGAGTTTAACTGAGGTTTTAAGCTAAGCAGGGCACCTAAAACAGCTTTACCTAAAACAATCTATCATTATTTTGCTCTTTTCTCTGTTTCACAGGCTCCCCTTTAGTTTGACAGTGTCTTTATTACTCAGTATTGTGAGAAAGGAAGTAGAAGAAGGAGCCAGACTGAGGGAAGTGAGGAGAAAACTAAAGTTTAATCCATCGCTCATGTGAGTAGAGAGGATTTAGAATCAGAAAGGGAATAAAGAGGCGGTTATCTGTCATTCTGAACCACTTTGCGAGCTGTTTTCATTCAGTTTGTCAGATTTGATGACGGCTACAAAGGATAAAAAGGCTAAAAAGGCTACAAAATAAAAACAAGGAAGGGCCTTTTAAGGCCCATTTGCATTGGAGTCTGTAGGGAGAGAGTTCAAAGGTCAACTCCACCTTTCATCCTGTCCCTGCACACGAGTCCTAACAGGATGGTGGACAGCAGGTAGGGCACGCCCACCACCAGGTGACACACCAGCCTGAGGCGGGAAAAGCTCTCCGGGGCTTCGGCAGGAGCTGAGGACGGCGGGAAAACAGAAGCTGTTCAGAAAAAAAACAGAGACGCGTTGAATCTTTAAAACCAGACGGAAAACCTCTGACTGTCTGAGAGGAAAAAAAAAACACACGAAAGAGAAAACAGATCTAAAAAAACTAGTCAGGCCCCTCCTTTTTGCCCAAATATGGCCGTTTCTGACTTTAAATGGACCAAATCTGGTTCAGCCTCATGTGTTTTTTCTATTGTTCACGTCTGGAAAACATGACATATACATGACATAAAAGCACATAAATGTTCAGATATTCAGCATCGTCTCAAATTATGGACATTTTGGGGAGTGGAAGCAGCTTTTTCCCAGAAATGAAGGGACAGGAGGTGAATAGGAATACCTGGAGGGGAGCTTGGCCCGTTTTCCTCCTCTGCAGAGTCACTGTTTGTTGCTTTTTGCTGCTCTGAGTGAAGAGCAGAGACAAGTCAGAGCAATATTTCAGGTTTGAGAGTAGGGGACTCGAACCCTGGTCCTCGGTTGGATGCTGCCCGGCAGGTTTCAGACACCAGAACATCTCAAACTTGACGGGCAGTGGCTCAAAGAAGACAGATATTTCTGCCTTTTTCCCACCACAACAGACCAAAAAAACCAAAGGATACAAAGGATGCTCCACTCTCATTTCAGGGAATCCTCGAGGTTTTTCCATGTTGACTTAAAGGAGACATATTATACCCTATTTCAACAAGTTAAGCTAGTTCCCTGGTGTCCTAATGTAATGTCTGTGACAAGCTTTGGTCAAAATCCCATAAGGATGAAGCCCAATAGCAGTTCAGTCCCCCTGCCTAACCCTAACCCTAACCCTAACCCTAACCCTAACCCTAACCCAAAACAGCCCCGTTCAGAGCGCTCGCTTTGGAGTGCCTGTCTCTTTAAATGCAAATGAGACACAGGCAATCCACCCACTTCTTCAGGGAGGTGTGCCCACGCCGGCACGCTAACGCTACCACGCTAACGCTACCATGCTAACGCTACCATGCTAACGCTACCATGTTAACGCTACCATGCTAACGCTACCATTACAACAGATGAACATGAACTCTGGGATAAACATGGCAAGTGGAGAAAACTTTTATCATATATTGAACCAGAGTCACACCCTGAACAAGAAGGAGCTAGCCAAGAAGTTGTTCAATGTAGACTGCAACAAGAGGTGTGCCCACGTCGGCATGCTAACGCTACCATGCTAACGCTCACGCTACCAGGACGTTTCCACAGATAGGGGAGT